AAATACTGTACTTGACTGTTAGTGAAGTACAGTCGAAAGCATACCCTGTAAAACTCATGGCACCTGATTTGCTGTCATTCTCAAGAAAAGTGGTATTTTTGTATCAATTTCCAACGCTGGTTGGAAGAAAACTGTTTTCCCCCAAATACTGCCCCCAATTTACAATATTAAGTTAGTCGACATTTTGTTTGCAATCGTTAGCACATCTTTGAATGGGTTCACGCAAGTTTCCCTGTTTCCCTGACCATACAATTCCCTGGCGTCTATAAATTGCAGTGTTGAATTTAAAGAGGGGTCGGGGAACCAGACTACAAGAAAATGATTGTTTCTTGGGTTTTCCAGCATCTATGAACACAAAACTTCATACAAGTCCGTGTGAGTTTGCTTTAAAATACTTAACCCATCCCCCCCCCCCCCCCCCACAGCCTTTTCTGAAAATTACAGGAAAAGCTATGTTGTACATTCCCTTTTATGAGCTTATGACATGCAATGACATGTTGGCCACATTAGGCAGGTGGCCTCAATACAGTGTTTAGCCAAATACAGGTGAAATAATTGTAACCTTTTGAAAGAATTTAATGCTGGGATGCTGTAGAGGACATCAAGCAAGTGTTCATGGACTCATGGACTAGATTGGGAAGACCAAGGACAGCAAGATCAGAGGACAATCGCTGCAGTTCGTCAGCAGTTGATCGACCATCAACATGACAAAAGTGCAAGACGGAATGGAGTTGGGCTCAGCCCAGCCTCTTTCAATCGGATAAACACGACTTGACCTTCATCTTCATCCGTATAGAGGAATTTCGAATTACCACCGTCTCCGCATTTCCACATTGAAACCGAGGGTCTCTGTGGCACGCATTCTGCACGTTCTGTTCCTCACATTGCAGGCAGGTAGGTCGGCCCTCTCGTTAAAGACGTTTTCCTTTTTTGTAAATCTTGCGATTTTTTTAGTGGCGGTGGCATGTAATAAATCCCACGTTAATATAGCATAAATATACAAGTATGCCACTGCCATACTATTATAGGATATGCCAATATTGTTGACATTTTTTTGGTCACTGTTTTGTGTATGTATATCGGCCATGTCGGTAGATTCAAGGAACCCGACGATTAAGCGTGGTTACTGTAGGCCGAAGTTCAGAAACTAGACCGATTTTCGAGGTTCCTCAATCAAGAAGATTATACACTGAAATATTATTATTGTTTCGTAGTTTTGTTATGAGCTTAGGTTTCTCAGTTGTTTTGTATAGACTAGTAGAATATTGGAAAGACAGCAGTGCCATCTTCAATTAATTACAGGGTTGCAGATGTGAATAAATGGAGGCTCTCGTCAAAATTGCATTTCATGTTTACAAATAAAACGGCTATTTTTAACGATTGTAGAATATAGCCAGACTGCCTGAGCGGTGAATTGATTTAGAAAAATCCATGTACGAAACTTTGCTAGACATCATTGTCATTTTAAAACAGTTTTTAATAATTACATAAATTGATACTTTTGTATTCATTAGACAATGGCTAATCTCACAGAGAAGATGACATTCCAGGAGCAAAACGGGATGTTTCTGTGCCTGCTCTTCAAAAAGTAAAATGTGAAGACCGAAGACCGAAGTTTTGACTTAAATGCCGTGGAGATTCTTGCAAGGCCAAGGCGCAGATGATAGAGGTATGTATGCAGAAAAATGTTCGGCCACAAAAAAAGTTCTGCTTCCGATTTATACATGGGATTTGGAAATAGGGTAGGTAGGCAGGGTTTATTATTTTTTTTGACCATGTTATTTTGTTTACAATCATATGGAGGTGTCGGTATGTAGTCAAGTGTACAAAAAGTAATTGACGATTTTCGTTGTTTTTTTTTTCATTTCCCCCTCCCTCCCCCCCAAACAAAATAGGGTAGGAGCTGTCAAAAGATGGTAGGTAGGGTAACCAGAAGCAGAACTATTTTTATTTTGGCCTCATTTGTACACCGTTTAAGGCTAATTAAATTAGTGTCTGGTGCTGCCTATGTTGTGGGCAAGCATGTGGGCATGGCTGGGAGGGCCTGGGGGGGGGGGGGGGGGTGTTCCTAGTACATTTTGTATACAGTCACAGACCAAGGGTGGACAGAGAGGTTACCACTGAGGAGGAGGGTGAGGTTGTCCTGGGAGGGGAGGGGGCAGGGACAGAATGGTATTCACAAGTAAAAAAATAGCCATGTTTGGGAAAATGTTGGGGGGGGGGGCCTCCACACCTCCTTGGATCCACCATTGCTGACAGTACTTTTGCAATTATTGCAGTGATTGTGGAATTGACATGTAGTACTCCATTTCTATGTTCTTATAAGACAATGAAAACCCACTTTTATGCAATAGCACTCACATACCTGGCTGCAGAGAGGGCATGTTTTTTGTTTATGAGAGAAATTATCAGATGGAATATGAAGATGATGAGAGCAATTGTTGTTTACATTCAATAAAAATGACTACATGTGAATCAATGCAATAACTCACACAGTACATGCCAACTTACAATCACCAATATATGTGAGGGCTAAAACCCGTAAACCATGTTACATTATTCTGACAATACAAATTGTTGATTTTTCCCATTTCTTGTTATTTTCCATTTTAGGATCCAACAGCTTGTCCTTAGACATGGAAATGAGTCTACAATCGTTGATCCCACTCCAGATGAGCATTGGGAGAGTCTCTAGTGCAGGGTCAGCTGGCATTAACTGGAGCAGAATAGTGTGACTTTGTTGTTTACACACACAAAGGTTTAATCATTCAACGAACACCTTTTGAATTAACATTTTGGAATATCCTTTACAAAAAAAAAATGCAGAAGTTTATTTTGGCTTTTACATCAAAGTGGCTATTGAACAATTCTAATCTATTGTCTCGCAAAGTTAAAAACTTTTTTTTTGCATGTAATCATTTTCCCTTGACAGTGTTATAACTCGATCAAGACTTTTCAGCACCCACAGCATTGGCTGAGATGGTTCTTTTTTTTTATATTTTGAATTGTGAATAATTATGATTCATAGTTTTAAAGAGGCATTCATGTTGATACATTAAGTTTGTAGTCATTAGACATTAGGCATAAGTGATCAACTGGTATCGCACACTGGTTTGGGTATCAAACATTCGTCAAAATAGTGTCAGTGTAGACCCCTATCAAAATATTAGAAACAAAATGTGTTGAACTTGTATAACTCAGTAGTATGCATTTATGAAACTTAAGGTGTACATCCTTATATTGGCAAGTTTTGCATGCTTGATTTAAGGGCTTACATAAAAATACACAGTTACAAAAATTAGTCAAGAAGCCAAGCACATTAAAATTTATGTTTTATTTCATATTTATTTCACAGGCATTACATATGACAGTAACTGAATGTAAACCAAGCATAAACAAATCGACCCCTTAAAGAATATGCTCCAAAACATTAATTTTTTCTCACTTCAATAAAAGTCAAGAAAGTGCTGGATACATGTATTTGAAATAAAGTGAACAAGTGATGTATGTATTTAAATTAATGTCAGTGAGAGTATTTGTTCTTTCTTGGAGTGTAGAGTTTATACATTAGGCAAAAAAAAATCTGCTTCTGATATGCCCCACCAACCCTATTTTGAATGCCCCTACTCTAATTGTTTGGGTTTTGGGGGGGGGGGAATGAGGGAAAAAACCTGAAAACCATCAATTATTACACGTACCTTTTTATATCTAAACGCAGACACCTACGATTGTACACCAAAATGCTGTTTATTACTAGACATGTACATTTTTGTGCATACTACTCCAGAACTAGACTTGTCTATGAAAAACTTCGGGAAGAATCCCGTACATGGACATCACTGAGTTTTCCCTGCAGTGACCTATCACCCATCAGAAAGTGGAAACGTCCTAAAGAGTCAAATTTGCAGCAGGGAAAATATTGAAGCATGGGCCTACTGAGTAAACAGTTTGATTGGTATTTTTCAGACCAGTCTCATAGGGTTTGTGCACAGGTATGCAACTCCTTCCGATCCAATTCTTCAATTGAATATGAATCAATTAATACGGTTCAACTAAAAAAAATGGGTGCGAGGTTCAAGGATTTCTTTCAGAACAGCGTAGGCCAGGTAAACTCGTAGTTTCTCCTGACACAGCCAGCCTCGTTTTCAAACCCGGAAGTGCGCAGATCGACGCTAAACTCGTCGTTGTGGGATTCCTCTATCGCATCCACATTCAACACAAGCTTCTTGCTGCTGACCTTGAAAGAAATTTATGACAAACAATAAAATCCAGTTTTGAAACCAACCCGATTTAGTTTTTTGGTTTCTTTTTTATGCACTCATGTCTTCTTCTTGAATACTTATTCTCATGCACACCATGCCTATTGTGTTTAACATAAAAAGTAAACCAACTGCAATTTTGCATCAAAATCTCATGACAATGGCACTCAGTGATGCATGACCCTGGAAATGTAAACAAGGTATCATTGAAAAGTATAGAGATTACGCTTTCAGATGATACCAGTTTTATAGCCAGTAAACATTTAGTCTGTCCATACTGGCTCTTCAAAGTTGGGTTTCCTTTTTATTTAAACACCCTGTATATATATATTTCATATTTTAAAAACATATGTAGCACCAAATATAATTATGACTGGTAAGCCAAATTAATAAACTAAGAACTTTCAGATGAAAAAAATGGCTTCCTCAATCACCATTATATTACCAATTAAACGAAATAACCCTAAAATCTGTTTCGTTCAAAAATGTTATTTCAAGAATTGTCGCTACAATTGTCTTTAAACGGCAACCTTTGAAATGTAAACTAGATCTTAGAAAATTGTTTCTTGAAATATACAGATTTCACATAGCTTAAACTTCATCAGGTTAGTTGCTAAGCACCTGTCTTTAGATCTTAGCACTTTGCTGCTTCAAACGAACAAAGTGCACAAATGACAAATGATTTGCCCTACATTACCCTTAATATTGATGGCAGGATTCAATGTTTTTGCCCATCTGCAGATGGTTCTGCAAAGACAGAGACAAGTCTGATACAGTCCACTGATGAACAAAATCAATTTGATGTTAAAGAGACACTACAAGAACTACATGAAAAGGTAGGTATCAAAAAGGTCATCTCAAAATAATGGGTTATTATGGAAATTAACACAGTTAAAGTGGTTTCACCTTTGCGGCAAAGCGTTGCAAATAATTAACATTTTCTTCATTTCAAATAATGACACCACACAAAATTTCCTCCCCTCCTACTTGGGTTTAATTCGGAAGTATCTAACCCGCTCAGCAACAGAGAAACTTGTTCACGCCCTCATTTCATCTCGGTTGGATTTTTGTAATTCCCTGTTGTATCAGCTACCCCGTAACCAACTTGCTCGCCTACAAAGACTCCAAAATTCTGCCGCTCGAATTGTGACCCTGACACTCTCTAGAACCCATATCCCCCGATTTTGCAGTCTCTGCATTGGCTCCCTTTTGCTGACCGGATTTAGTACAAACTGTTACTGCTTGTTTTTCATTGCCTTCATGATTCAGCTCCTGAATACAACATAGACCTATTAACTCCATATAATCCATCCAGGCGATTGAGATCTTCTGATGCTTCTTTGCTGGTTGTCCCTCGCACTCACAAATCTTGGGGTGATCGATCATTTTCTTATGCAGGTCCTCATCTTTGGAACAAACTACCCCTCGGCATTCGCAATATCTCATCGCTTTCTGAATTTAAAGTTGCCCAAAAGACCTATTTGTTTCAGACCACTCAGAATATTCTTGTTTAGTTAAATTTAATTGTTTTGTTATTTCTGATTTGATATAATTTTTGTTTGCGCCATGAGCGTCATTTATGGCGGATAATGGCGCGGTATATTTTTCCGTTATTATTATTATTATTATTATTATTTTGGGGGATGCAGTTGTCTTTCCAGAGGCTGCTTTGGTGATTATGATTTTATTTTGTCTTTTTCTTTATTTATTCAGGACAAGAACAATAATTCAGCGTGTGCTAGTTCTTGTGAACCATGGAAATGTTCCAATTGTAGTAAGGTGTTTGGAACATTTTCTCTGCTTGAAGTGCATTCATGTGAATCCAAGATTAAGAGAGCCAAACCATGCCAACAGCAAAACGTCAGGACATCACAAAACAGGTTAAGTGCAAGGCAGTCAAAAGTTTGTGAGAAGACACAACAGCTAGAGCTTGGGAATAAAGACTTGCATGTTTATACACAAGTGAAAAAGGAGGAAAATCCTGGCCCTTCAAAGCTACATGTCAGGAAAGAACCTATGACTTTTGCTTGTCATCTTTGTCCAAAGGTTTTTTTAAACCATGACAAACTGAAAACACATAGCTATATACACACAGGAGAACGTCCATTCCTGTGCACCAATAGTCAGTGTACGAAGGCCTTCATTTCAAAGTATAAACTATTGCGGCATATGACCACTCATTCTCCAATGAAAATTCATATATGTTCATACTGCGACAAGAAATTTCATCGAAAGGATCACCTCAAAAATCACTTGCAAACTCATGACCCCAATAAAATATCATTTAGGTGTACTTATTGTGGTAAGATGTACAACACCAAACCAGGATTCAAGAAGCACATGGCATTACATGCTGCTGCATCTGGTGAGTTAACTTGTAAAATCTGTAACAAAGACTTTGAAAATACACACAATCTACTTGAGCACATCAAATTTCATTCGGGAAAGTCCAGTGGAACTAAAGAGAAGAAGCATCAATGTGAACACTGTGATAGACAGTTTTACACAAGAAAAGATGTTAGACGCCACATGGTTGTACACACGGGTAGAAAGGATTTTCTTTGCCAGGCTTGTGGGCAGAGATTTGGACGCAAAGATCACCTTGTAAGACACACAAGAAAGAGCCATGACAGAAGTAACAATATACGGGTTAAATTGGATGAACAGGAATTAGCCACAGCAAAAGTTCAACAAGCACTAGAAATAGACCAGTTTCAAGGACAACTCCACATTCCTTTTACTGAAGAGATTCCTGTGCATTGCTCTGTGGGACACTTTACACCCTCCTCTCACCGATTGACAGATCTATTAAAAGTCCCCCCAGTGCCGCCACCTACATTCTCCAACAAGATATCACGTGGGTTCCCTTCTCCAGCAAAACAAACAGTGAGAGTAAATGCAAGGGAGAGAATGAGGATAGAGCCAGCAGTGGAAACAGAAAGTTTGAATGTGAAGAATATTTCAGGTGAGTCTCTTTGCTCAGAATCGATTGACTCTGGACAAGGTGTGGGTTTTTTGCCCATCCAGCATCAAACACAGTCTGGTACACCCTATGCAATGTGCCCTGCCAATGTCACACAATCTCCCAAAACACCACCAGAACACCACGAAGAGATAACATGTAAGCTACATCAGCACCAACTTCATCAATCTCCACAGTCCCATTTTCAGCAACAGACAAAACTTCAAAGGCAGCATCATCCCCAACAACAGTTGCAAATGATACATGATGTACATCCTCCTCTCTCTTCAACCCAAACTTCTAGCATCAGTCAAACTTGTTCAAAAGTATTACAGGTGCCATTTTTAGATATGCGCTCTGCACTCCCTCAATTCCATCAAGCTTTTCAGTAGTTATAAAAATGAGATATCTATTTACTGACACCACTTCAATCTTATTAATAAAACCTATTGCGAATTAGTCCAGCACCCGATATAATGAAAGTCATCGTAACTTACGATGCATCACAGTGCTGCGACGTGTCGTATCCCTACGGTGCGTAGTAGCTGCGACGCATCCTGCGATCCATTTCACAAAACACGTCCTAAGTGCGACGTGTCATAGGTGAATTTATAACACAACGCGGTGACTGTTTTACGTATTTATTCAGTGTACAGTTAATAGATGCCTGATATTCAACAATGAGCCATTGGATCTCCTCTCACAAGTTTTAAAACATAAAAAACATGGATAACTTGTAAAGCAATTTCGAAGGAAAACAAGCTCTCAGTGGAATGTATAGCTACTTTGAAATTTCAACTGCAATATTTTAGGCTAATTAATAATTATTGAATGCATTTTCTTTTTACAACTTAACACACATTGTATCGGTATTAAAGTCTCGTTTATGTATTTTTATGGCATAAAAAATTGCATAAAAAAAAAAGAACGCTTCTAACTTTGCGATGATCACTAGACACGTCATGTTTTAAGCCGTTGTTAAGGACCATACAAAGGGTTCAACCATCGCAAGTTTCATGAAATGGATCATACGTTGCGGCGCGAGTTACGACCTGTTACATGTCATAACTCGGTTGCGACGCGTCGCAGCACCAGTTTCCCAAATAGTGTTCTCTTCGTACATTTCTTAATCACTATTTAAATGCATAGTTTTGAGTGAGAACTGAAAACAAACAAGTCTCTTTAACTAAAAAAACAAAATATGTTATCATTGCAAAGGATTCCAGTAATATACTTGTATCTACATGTATCTATGATATTACAGCCAACAAACAGATTTTGTGAACAATGTCACACGATACAAGGAACTTTTCATTCTCAAATGTCCAGTGATTTCAGAGTAAAGGAATATGTTACTTGGCTTTTGAGTAACTTCAATTTTATAGGTATTTATTTAAAACTGGAATACTTAAATTCCATCCCATCTAGGTTTTAATTCACAGTCAGTTAAAGCCCAGTATTAAACCATGTATATTGGAGATGGATACAGATACACGGTTTTAAATCATATGTTTATATTTTCCTCATTTACGTCTCTCCAAATCTCGATAGACTTTGTACATGTTCTCAATTTAAAGGGGTACTGTATCCTGAAATCCACAAAATTTTCATGTTTTGGATTATTTACTGAGAAACCAACCTAATGTCTTACCGTTCCCGAGAAAAGACCCCCCCCCCCTAAAAAAAAGATTTACATCAGACACTACGGATTACGCATACGTTTTTCCTGTTGTTTCAGTCAATGTATAATACAAGTTGTGTTTGTCACATAAAATTACACACAGCACCAATGCACAGATGTGGTTTCTTACACGTCTGCAAAAGGCGAACACTTCATGGCCGGATTCATAACTAGCATGAACAGCCAGACTTTTGGGGGTCGCAAAAAATAGACCCCTAAACTCGTTCTCGCACACATAACACAAGAATAAAACAAAAACGCCCGTTTTTTAAGGATAGTTGTGTAGATGTTTACATTGTTTTGTAGCCCAATTGTGCTCATTCCAGGATGCAGTGTGCCTTTAATGAAACTTGGAAAGGATATAGACCCCATAATATAGTCCTGCATTGACAAGAGATATGATGAAATCATTACGTCTCATGACATCAGTTTATAGGTACATTTTCAGAATTCTATACGAAGAGAACTAACCTTCCCTTGCATGTATTCTACAAACTAGTACTTTTTGATGGGTGTCATGATGACATCACACATTTTTTAAAATTCCATGCATATCTGTGACTAAACAAACCTGTGTTACAACATGAATTATGAATGGAGCATGTTTTGTTCCTGAAATATGGGTAAAAGACAGAAAAATGAAAATTCCATAAAAAGAACACACGATGCCATCATCATGACATCCCTTTTTACAAAGTTTTAACCCAATCAGACTTGTACTTATAAATGCACCTTTAAGCTGACATCACATGACACATGATGACATCCATCTTCACGGCACATCTTTGATATTATAGTATTTGTGTATGTTAGTTTCAATATGACTGTTTCATGTCAAAAGTGTCGTACATGTGCTATGGTTTCCACGTTTTCCATGGCTGACCGACAATCTGAACAGGTGTGTATATAACACGCATTACATGCTTTATCTACATGAAGTGTCAAATCTTTTTGGCAAGTACCAAATGCAGAGGACAAAGTAAAAATTGTGAATTGTCTATATGTGTGCAAAATTTTCAATTAATTGGCTGTGTCGTCTTTAATGGTCTATTTTGCTGATTTGTCTTATTTGCCCAAATTGCTGCGCATATGGGATAGAGTATGGAACAAAAACAAGAAAGAAAATCTAGATGTGTACATGTATGTCTGTTTAATGAACAGATCATATAAGGCTTTTCCGCATTTAAATTTTGTTTCTGAATATTCATGCTTTTTACATGTACATTATCATGTAAACGATCAATTTCATGCATGAACAAAGTTCCCTGATAACATGATGACTTAATTTTTATGAATGACATTTTTATGGCATCATAATGAGTCATATTTGTTCATAATTCTGTGCTCATTAGCATGACCTGCTCTTCCAATTTTAGCATGTTTTGTTTGGTAGATTGTTGAAAAATACTTTAGAATATTGAAAAATTAAAAAAAAATCCATACATATATCACATAATGATGTCATCATGATGTCACTTCAATTTTCACCTGTAACACATCTCTGTCTATATACCAAGATTCAACCTATCAAGAGTTGCAGTACTTTAGATATAGGACTTGAGAAATATACACCTTTAAGATGATGTCACATAACCCATTATAATGTTATCATAATGTCACTTTACGATACACTTACTTACAATGTGGTCTTTGATCTGTGCCAAGATTTAAGTTGATCTGATCAAAGACAATGTAACTTTTGTAAGACAGTGGTAAAAATGTAACATTTGTTAAAAATCAACCATAATGTTATTGTAAAGTCACTTCGGATTTTACATATTAATAACATTAGAGCATCCCTTTTTATTTCTTTGGTTCGAACCTGAATTCTGTTTTGGGCTCTTGACCCAAGACAAAAAACCCAGAACCTGTAATAAACACCTGACTATGTACATACCAAGTTATTTCAATTAACATATGGGGAAAAATAAAATTCAGGCAATCAGGCTCTGTGTTATTTGAAAAGCTATAAAAACCATATTTCTATGCGCAATACGGCGCACAGCAACCAGTGGGATCTCTGAAGACGAGAGATATTCTCTCTCATTGTATTTGGTGTCAATTGTCTGAAGCCACTACAGCCAAAGCGCTAGTGAGCTGCTTGGTGCAGATGTGTAAGGGGTGTGGCCTAGTGGTTAGGGTCCGTACTCAAGATCAGAGGGTCAGGGGTTTGAATCCAGCTGCTGGCCATATGTTGTGTCCTTATAGTACAGGCATTATGTAAAAAATTAAGGGGTAACCTCAAACAAATTGCAACAGAAACCATTTAAAAAGGTTATTACTCAGAAAAATCTCCTCTATAACATATTAAAGTCTTAAGAAATCCGAGTGGTGGAAAGTAGTTTTCTAATGTGTTTCTTAACCACACCCAGTACCACTTTTTTTGCTACTTTATAATAGAATATTTAGTGATGCTGCAACAATATATTTAATACTAAACACAGAGAGTTGATCTTAATTTATTATTGAGATGCCCATTGACTTCAGAAAAGATCTGTAGATGATTTATATTCATTTATTATGCTGTAATATATATATACTATCTGCAATATGATATATATATGAATCTATATATAACATATAGGTTCAGTCTATTCTGCTACCATTGGTTTCACGCAAACGCACACTGCGTGGCGATCATCAGGCGAATTTACTCATTTTTCTAGACCTTGGTAAGTTTCAATATCCCTATGTTTCCCAAATTTGCGATATGCCGATAATAATTTGCATAAATGCCATTTATTAATTTGCATAGATTAAAGTTAAAATTATGGCTGTCATGTGTGGACATGTCACAATAAAATTTTCCCTGATAATCCAAGTCCAGTCATGTACATAAATTAATTTCACACCATGGTGCATTGCTATAAGGTTCCTTAAAAAAGGAAAGAAATCCAAGTGGTGGAAATATGCCTAATTTGCATAAATTCAAAATGGCCACTAATTAAATGATTTTTGATTTGGCCATAACTCTTGTCCTGCATTGCTTTTTGGAGTACTTTGAACAACAATTTGTCCTTTGACATTGATTTCATCATCATTCCAGTCCGAGGTACCTTATGAGATCCTATGTTTCCTATGGGGTATAACATTTTTGTTAAGGTTTCTAGCTCTTGTCAAAGTTGGTATAAGTGTTGGAAAATGTGATATCCCTGTGTCGCAGAGCGAACCCTTGCGCCGCTCTACTCGGACCAACAATCAAAGACTAACTCAGGAGAACAGAGGATTCAACACAGGAGTTACAAACCACAAAGGGTGAGGGTTTTATACCCCTCCCGCATGGGTGCAAGCCCGGAATTGGTATGCAACAATTCACCTAGCA